GGTACACCTGCAATACACATACCTCTGTTCACTAGATATCCACCAATTTTTTTGTTTGTTTACAGATATATTCTTGCCCTGACAGCTGTTCAACCACTTCTTGACATTGTATTGTAATGTTAGATATTCCACAAAAGATTACAAAATATGCCAACCAAATTCTTTGTACCACAGAAGATTATGTTCTTTTCCCCAGACAGTATCACAGTTCTGTAGTTCATTTCCATCTTGAAAAATGTGATTTTCAGTACCATCTACAGACTTGCAGCTTGGGTGTGGTAATCTGCTTCTTCACTTTCAAACTGAAGAGGTTACAGGTAAGGTCTTATATCTCTGCAGATTATATTGATCAACAAATCTTTTATCTGAGAGGATGTCTTGACTAGTGAGCACCTTCGTCATAAGCGTACTGAGTCATAAGCAGTCAGAAAATCTAAGTGATTTTCCAGTTACTTCATTCTCCTGAAAATTTATGAAAGAATTTAAACATGATAAGAAGTATATACTTTCTCTTACATCACCAAAGTTAGTGAAAAATCACTGGAAAGCAATTGTTGTGTCTTAGGAACAGCATTCCCCAATTTAGTACTTTCATCCCCCAGACAAGACTTTCTCAACACAGCAGACACCTGCTTGCTCCCTGCCCCATGCCCTCCCCCTTCCCACTCAGGGGATGGAGTTCAGAGTTCAGAACTGGAGGAACAAAAGGGTGAAATTTACAGGCTGAGATAGGAACAATTTACAAGAAACAGCAATGAGATAAGATAATAAACGGTAACAACAGTAACCAACAACATTCTTAACAAAAGGTATAAGACAAAGAAACAACTTACACAGAAAAATTGCAACAAAATACCAGCCTTGACCCCAAAAATGCTGGTCTCTTACTTCTGCCCCTGGCAAGTGCAAGATAGTGTCATATAATATAATGCCCCTCCTGGCTACTACTAAATTATTAACCCTATCCTGACCAAACTAGTTCACCAACACAGATGTTTACTTTTCCAGACAGCATAAGGTTGAACTTCAAATTAGGTACAAGCCTAGGAATGGAATACTTGGGAAGCTGAAGGAGATTACACTACAGCCCCTGACCAGTGCGACTAATTATATTCAAAAATATTTTACTTTTGCTTCTTCTGAAGTTATGCTTTGGGCTCATTTGTTTGCAATATTCTATGTTATAATTATGTTTTGCCTCCATAGCACATGACGAAATGTCAAAGTAGATGATACTGTAAACTGGCAGAAAATTTAACAACCATAAAGAAGATTTTCTTCACCCTCTTCTGGCTTCTATATGTAAATGTCTCCTTGTCTCCTTCAACACAATCTAGGATATTTTAGGGGCTCTTTACCTCTGGACATGCTTTCAAATCTCATTATGCAAATCTAGTATGTGACACATAAGCCAAAAATATATATATATATTCAAGTTATTAAATGAAAAACCGGAATTCTTTTCAAACAGGAGTTAGATACCCAGTAATGGAAATTAGAACTCTTAACTGAGAATCAATTTTCCAGCTGTCAGTTTAACAAACAACAATGAAAGTTTTTAATCAACTCAGTTGGCTACCTAATGTTTCTTTCAACAAGAAGCATTCTTTCCATGACAGGTTATTGGGAGGAGGCATGACAAACCCCATATACACAAGTAGAACGCCTGTAATGGGAGACATCCTGCTAGCAACAGCCCCTGGAAGATCCCAGCCCTGATGCCCTGCAAATGGGTCAAGCAGGAAGTAGAAGGTATCCAGTGCTGAGTGAAAAGAGAAAATGGGGGAACTGTAGCCACAGTGAGGGGAAAAAAACAGATGGTGCCAGTAGGCTGTAGGATTCTGATTTTGGTTTGTAATTACAACTGGCAATCATTTTGAACCACTGCTGCTTTTTTTAATTATTCCACTTTGATTGCAATTACCAGCCAAAATCAACAATCCTAGCAATAGAGCTCAGAGTTTTCTGATGAAATGGTTAAACACCCAAGTGTTTGCACCTAGACCTTACAAACCTGCAATTTAACAGGAAAACTTATTAACAAGAAAACTTTTTGGATCATAAGTTGTATGCCAATGTATTCCTAGCCTAGAACCTTGAGAGTAAGAAGATTACAGTGAGGACAGTTGAAACTTTCTTTTGGAAGTTGAATTACAGTCAGCAAAGGCAACACTCACCTAAGTGCAAACAATTTCTTGCACTGTTCTGCTGTAGAGCATAGTTTAAGGCAAATGAGTGTCTCAAGATGAACCAAAGCCTGAGGTTTTCCAAAGCAGTAACATTTTTTGAAAATACCATGTTGATTTCTATCTCACTGGAAACTGTGCTGTGTATACAATAAAACTCATCAAATTTCGTAAGCATTTTCAAGCAGGGCAGGGGTATTTTGAAGTCTACCTACTATTCTCAGCCAACACCACAGGCTCACACAGGATGTAAAAAATCCATTTTGAGCACGTGAGAGGTGATCATGAGCATGTAAGTGGAAATCAAGTCAACTTACTCTCTTTTTTCTGCTAAATAATGTCTTTCACCTCACAGTTGCTTTTGAGAAGGAATCTCATCTTGAAAGGAAAACAAGAACAGACTCAGAAAAAAGTTATAGAAAACCATACCTCAAGAGTACATCTAATCCTTCTCCTCACTGAACTATACTCAAGCCATGCCTGACAGACAAGTTCTTCACGTGGAGATTCCACAATCTTTCACAGATTGTGCTAAAGCTTTCCTGTCTTTACTCCCATTATATTATTCCTAACTTTCAGCAGGAATCCTCATTACACCAGTTAAAGACTGTAATTTCTCATTCTATCAGTAGAATGTGAAAGGAACAGTTTTACTCCCTCCTTTGAGTTGTGCAAAGACTGTTATGTTTCCTGCTAGTGTTTTTCATTCTTTACTTAACCATCCCAATTTCTTAAGCCTTTCTTTATAAATCACATTTTCTGCTCCTACAATTGTTGTTTTCAGTAATCTCTCCAGTTGAGCCAGGTATTTGTTAAAAGTTAGTACTCAAAACTGGAAATAATATTCTAAATAAACCTTTACCAAGACTTTATAGACCAGAAGATGATTTCAAATACCCTACAGGTAATACTCCTGTGTAACCAACCTATTAACTCACAACAAAATTACTTTTTTCTTATCCTGTTCAGTAGGTGATTCACTGTGACGGGAGATTCAGCCTAACCTCTTATTCTCCAGTGAGGAGGATACTCAATTATCCAGCCTCTTATTCTCTCTCTCTGTGGGTGTAAGAAGATTATTCCTGTCCAAGCATAATATCTTGAAATTCTTCTTGTCGAACTGCTGCCTTAGACTGCATCTTTAATGTGTAAAACTCTTTCTCAAGACTAATCCTGTCCTACAGTATGCTCCTTAAATGTTGATATCTTATGAAAGTTCACAAAAAACACTGAAAAGTGAGAGTGAGCTTTAAAAACTTTTTTAAATGCAGTTTTCCAAAGAGAGTGCAACTAGTCTTATTATAATCTGTAGAGTGCTTTCTTAGCTAGTTTATGAAATGTCATGAGAGATAAAATCAGAATTTGTCAGGAGAAAGCAGCATGTCATAGCCTGTTTCTCTCTTATCTATAAGGGTAGTTATTATTTGGTTCCAGAAGGAAATTAGACGACTGACATAACCTGATTTCGGAAAATCTGTAATGGCTGTCAATTCATCTCCTCATCATCCTCCAGATCTTTAACGATACTTTGAATATTTGTTCCAGTATTACTGCAGAAACTAAAGCCTAGCAGACTAAAGCATTGATTCAAACAGCTGGTGTAAGTACAAGGTACATCATGGTACTTTTGAGTGCAATTCTGGTCAGCTGGAGTGAGTAGATGCACAGCAGTCTGACTTGCAGCAGCCACTGGCATTTAGGGTTTGTACTGGAGCTCATGATGGTAAATATCACAAGTGGAATGAGAGTTGGGATCATGTTACTTGCCAAGAAGAGCCACCATCAAAGACATCAGAAAAGCAGACAGCACTCCAATGTATGTCACAGCACCTCCCTTCTCTTCATGTGCACATTGGAGGTAAAATGTAGACTGAAAAGTGGGGTAATGATGCATTTGGTGAGTTACTGCACCCTGCACCTTGTGAGACATCCCACCCTGTTGTGCCTACCTACAGCTGCCCTTGCTGCACCTGCTGATGGCTGTCAGCCTGCCTTTGCCCAAAGCCCCAGGCAGACCTAAAGGTGGACCAAATGGCTCCTTTGCTCTCCAGTTTCTTCTCAGGTCCTCATTCTGTAAATAATAAAATATCTCTCTCCAACATGCCTCTCCCCTTCTCTGAGCAATGCAATCGGAGCTGTGTCAGGGCAACTAGTCCTTTCTTTGCTCTGATTGAATAATAATGAAAGGATGGGAAACAAAGACTAGGAGCTTTTGAGATTAATCCCCCTTCTGTTCTCAGCTGTCAGACTTACTTATTTTTTTCTTTTTTCAGCTAAATCAGGTCATTATACTACAAATCTTTACTCTGAATGAAAGATTAAACTCAGGTATTTTATTTTCATCAGGGCATAATATTCAGCACAGAATAATTGGCTAGAGTTTCATCTGGATATTTGTATGGGGCCTCCTATCAAATTCCACTAAAACCTTACTGACTCTTTCAATTTTTTTTAATTCCTTAGGATCTTACTGTAGTAGACCCTTGGCAAATGGAATCTTTCACTCAGTTGAAAGATACCTATCTCTACATCTGAGATGTCATGTTTTCATGAAGCCTCTTTAAACAATCAAAAAAATGAAAAGGCCTTCAGGGTTACCTTGTAATAAAAACAGTAATAGAAAAGAAAAAATCTATAACCTAAGTGTTTGTCCTTGACATAGTTTTTTGGGTCGTTTTTTTCTTTTTTGTTTGTTTTTTTTTTTTTTTACAATGAGAAGGAAAAAAAGAGGAAGGGGAAAAAAAGAAGCAGTAAACAAGAAAAGGCTTTCAGACTACATTTAACTGCTTTGAAGCCAACAATAAACTTACCACAGTTAAACCAGGTCAACAAGGCATAAGGTCATCAAAACCAAGGCTCATTGAACCAGTGTGTTTGGATAGATGCCATTTCCACTTTGTCAGTATGAAGAGTGCTGTATTGAACAGAGAGAACAGAGCTCATGCTGACATAAAATTAGAACCAAAAAACATCAGGTCTATTGTGATGATCTCATGAGGAGCAGACAGGTTTGCTATGCATTAGTAAACTCTCTGGTGTGATTATCGAATCTACCTTGATGTTTTTTAGTTTACTGATTACTTTATTGATAGTGTCTTTTTTAAAAAGACATTATCACACATGGAATGTATTTTCTCAACTGAGAAAAACTGGCTTTATGCCACTTCTGCTCTACCCAAAATCGACCCAACAGTAGCTTTGGGATTTAATTTAAACAGAGAGAGACAAAGCATGACAAAAGCATAGGGCCTAACAACCCAACATGAGCCTCTGCTAACACACAAATTTTTGCTGCTGCAACAAATCAGAATATTTCTAGACTTCAACTTTCTGTTCATGTTTTGCTTTGTTTTCACTTTTAAAAAATATTCTTAATTTAGAAGTAAAATACTACTATAAAATTCTTCTCCAAAGCTAATAAAAGACAATGGGACTGATTGATGTTTGGAGCCCTTGAAAAGTTATGCCTTTTATTAATTCCTAAAAATATTTATGAAGCATTTCAGGTTACTTCTCCCAGAGGTATCAGATTTTCATGATATACAGGTCATGGGAAGAGTTCATATCAGAATAGGTCCTGCAAAGGCTATTTTGTTGATTCCTTTGCTCTTACGAATGGATAGCATTTCAAACATATTTTTAGAATATGCAGTGCAAAGCTAAGTTTAGTCCTTGTGCTCTGTGATACAGGCAGTCCATTGACTTTGGGCAGGAGAATCCTAATGAGAATTGCCAGAAATACTGCTTGGATCAGCAGTGGCACTAACAAGTTGGAAAGGTACAAGGCAAGCAGTGTCCTCTGAACGTGGAAATTTATAACTCACCTCTTCAGGTTACTCATGTCTTGTCTGATTAATATCCTTCTGGGGTGTTTTTCAGTTTCCTCCTTTGTTTGAGCTTAGTTTCTCTTGCATGTATCACTGCTGGGAAACAAAAATATTCTATCATGAGAAACATGCAACTAGGAAATGCAACAAGTATAATGTTCCAGTGACAGCAGTGGCAAAGATTTACTCAAAGCATGATGCTGAGCAGGGGCTGGAGATTCAACCATGGTGCCTCAAAGCCACTGCTCAGGTAGGACTGGGGAAAGCCTTCCACACAGGCTACCAGCAGGCATGATCCGAAAAAGACAAAACAGATTTTACATCCAAAGAAGTGAGGGTCTTTATCACCAGTGAGTGAGTGAACCACAGAGAGGAATAAGTGAGGAAGCCAGGATGGGGACCTGAGCAACTGGGTCTAGTCGAACGTGTCCCTGCCCATGGCAGGGGGATTGGAACAAGATGTTCTTTAAGGTCCTTTTTAAGTCAAAATACTCTATGATTTTGTATTACTTTGAGCTGGCTAAAAGCCACCTAAGATGTCCTGAACCTGAATAAGCCCTCTTTGGTTAGAGCAAGAGCAGGTTGCCCTGTTTACGTCCTATAGGCATGTCTAGGTACAGTTCTGACACATTTCAAGGCAATTGCAGTTTCAAATGTACCCTAGAGAGCACTAAATTGCAGTGATATTAACAAACAGCCCACCAAGCTCTGAAATCTTATAGAAACCTGGGGGATGTGTGGACCTAACAAACTTCCTTGTCTTTGAACATATCAGGCAGGCAGGCAAACACGATGCCACTATCAAAAATGCCGAATCAAATTTAAACACTACTGAAAACTTCATAAAAGTCAGTGAAGAAATCTTTCTTCTGTTTACTATTAATGATTGCAAGATAACCTTTATTTATAGTGCCTTGGGGACTTATTCAATAGGATGTAGTGACACTGATGAGAAGGATTATTTATTGTTTATACAGTTGCTTAAAGATGAAGGCTCTGCATAAATACTCTGGAAAGTATAATTCCATGAAAAAAACTTTTCATAATGCATCAAAATACTTCCTGCATTAAAGTTATTCTGGACTCACTCTTTGCATCACAAGCCACATTTGCAATGCTCAGAAGGCCTGGCTGTATCCTTTATCACACAGCATCTAATATGCAGTCAATGTAAGAAAATCATAGTTTCTATCTGATATTCATGTAGTGCCAATAATATGCAAGGCATATTGACATCTTTTGAAAAAACAAGGAAACTGTGGGCTTGTTTGAAAAAGAAAGTTTCAAAAAATACATTAATGGGCCGTATAACTTGCATTCAGAAGTTATAAAATGGTATGATAAGGACTACATGAACAACAAAAACCTTCCCATTTTGTGTAAGCACATTAAAATGTTATTATTAGGTTGTGCCTAAGCTCAGAAATATCTTAAGTAAGGAAAGACATATTTTTGTTCATCATTTCCAAAACAAATGTAAAAAGAAATTTGCTGCACCCAAGAGGTCAGACAATACTGAACACAGTGCAAAACCTCTGGTTATCACCTTCAGCTCTTACTGTTTCATTCTTGTCACTAGTACCCCAAGAAAATACATTGATCAAAGGATAGTTTCCACCACTTCTGTTCTCACTTTACACCAAGACCACTAACAATAATGATTTAGTGATCAGTTAGATGTGTGAACTATTCATATGACCTGTAACACAATAATTCAAACCAGAAACCACTCACACTGGAAGGAGCTGCTGTTTGGTCCATGAGCCCTTTTGTCTTGTGTTCTGTGAATGAGGCTTCTGTGAAAATTTGACTTATTTAATTCCTTTATGTCTACTGAATATGAATTTTTATATATTTGAAGACTGTTACACCAAACACAACTGAAATAATTCTCCATCATGTTTCTTTTTCCTCTAAGCTCCAGGTCCCAGAGTCCAACTTTTCCCAGAGGTAATGTGCTGTCTAAGCTATTTTACAATGAATCAATAACTTCTAATCAATAGAGCAGCTCTAGGAGTTGATTTTAAACCTTAAAATAAATCTAAATGGGTATCTCAGGTGGCACCCATTCCTCTGTGTCCACTGCAGAGCTGGCCACTCAGACCAGGCACTGACTTCTGGTGTCCAGCATCAGGGAAACTGAGTGCCACCATCTCTGGGCTCAGCTGAACTAAGCTAGAGCAGTACTTAGCCCATAACCTATTACCGTTTCAGAAACTAAAATTTTGGGAAGGTGAAATGCTGTCTTTCTGAAGCCAGTAAATTAATCATAAAATCATAGAATGTTTAGGAGTTGCTATGGTTTTAAAGATCACCTGGTCCCAACCTCGCTGCCATGTGCAGGGACATTTCCCACTTGACCAAGTTGCTCAAGGCTTTATCCAGCCTGGCTTTGAATATCACCAGGGTTGGGGCATCTGCAACCTCCCTGGGTTCAGAGAGGTTTAGACCTGTTCCACCACCAGGGCTGGGGCATCTGCAACCTCCCTGGGTTCAGAGAGGTTTAGACCTGTTCCAGTGTCTGAACACACCTCACAGTGAAAAATTTTTATCTTGTTTTTAACGGAGGATTGGGAGAAAAAATGTCTTTATCTTGTGGGAGTCATGGGAACAGAACAAAGAGCCTTTTTGGCTTTTTCTATGGAAAGCAATCCTCAGTGATATAACTCCTCAGAATTTTTTTGTATTCTGAAAAAGATTTTCTGTTAAACTTTTCTGGGCAAATCCATCTGGGGTGTATTAAGACAAATCTAGTTATACTGATCTATTACTTCTGTCTGAGCACTTAGTTTTCTTCAATTTAAAAACAACATAAGGGAGTAGGAAAATCTTTAAGCAATGAGACATGACATACTATACCATGCTGTACTGTTGATTAATGTGTATCCCAGGTGGATGGGGAGTAAGATAAGTGCCTACACCATATGTGGTGAGTGCATTAATCAATATTAACGTGTATTAACAGGTACAGAGAGAGGGTACTGAAGAAGAGCCAGTTTTGGAGCACAATCCTGCTGTGATGGCAATGGGGGATTGAATCTTGTTGACATGAGGAGTCAGCCTGACCTCTGAGACTGTGATCTTAGAAAAGCACATGCATTTGATAGACTCCACACCACAGGATGTTGCAGAAGCTGAAAGTTTACATGTATCCAAGGAGAGTGAGGACAAGTTCATGGATCAGAAATTTTTTCAGGCTGTAAATTCAAATAAATATCTCCAAGTCAGGAAGTCTCTGAGTTGCAAATTATTGGAAGCAGAGGGAGTGCCTAAGGAAGTATCACGTACTGTTCACCCTGTTTTTATCCTCTTTTCTAAATACCTTCTTATGGTGGCCATCAGGGACTGGGCAAAGAGCTAGAGAGCCATGTGGTACAGCCTCATTCAGTGCTCTTATAGCCTGGTGGTTTATGTCCTAAAGTTACAGCATACAGTGAGTCCTCCTTAAATCTGTGCAAGTTGTTGGATGTTCAGACCGGAGCAGTGTCTGCAGCTGCATGCACACCTCCACTGATCCACTGAACAGCATCAGGACTCAGGTAACTGCCTCACTGCAAACACTGGCAGGAATTCAGCATGGTCTTCTACTGCAGAGACCTGGTGCCACCAAGTCTCTCTGCCAGTGATGCAACATCTCCCGTGTCAAAGCTCTGGTGAGGTACCAAGCCTTGAGAGATACTGCCTGCCTGAAGGTGGAAAATCAGCCAAGACACAGAAGTCGGTGCAGTACGGGACACTTTAGGAAACCCACAGCACCACTGCTCCACACACAGGAGAGGACTGGGATTTTCAGGAATGAGGCAACAGCTCTTGCTCTCTGCTGAGTTCAGAAACATCCCCATTTTCCACCCTGCCAGACAGAGACCTTACAACACAACTGCCACATTAGGGAAACCAAAGAAACAGCAATAACATATTGCTTATTGGAGCATATTAACATGCCCCACAGCAGTCTCATTATGACTGTTAAACTTTTACCTAAGATACTGAATTAAAAGCCTTTTTTATTTATGACCTCCTCTCTAGAATGTGTTACTTCCAGCTCTTCCTACCAGCACAGGAACCAGAGTGGTTCAACAGCCCAACAGCCAAACAGTGCTGACAACTGCCTACTTTCAAATTAAATTAAGCTTCTCTAATGTTTCTAATTTAATGTATTAATGCACATGATAAAAGCAAAGATTTTAGGTTGGCTTTTGTCTGATTTGTGTAGTCCTGTGTTTCAAAATCTTTTTTGAGATGCTGAAGTGGCATTTAAATTACAATTTCAACTGATCAGTTAGCTAACATATTTGGATGCTGGTCCTTTCCCATCACTATAATTTTGAATTTAAAGAACCTTCTATTTTAAAGGTGAAGAACTCTAAAAATTGCACATGGCAGTAAAACATCTCAGCTATGTTTCATCCTTTGTCTCCATTCTAGGCAATATGAGGGGGCATCTGTAGCTTGCATCCAGCTATTAGGATCTGTCCCTGTGTTGATCAATAAAGACCTCACGACTTTACTCTACACTTCAGTTCCAAGCCTCAACTACTCAGTAGACAGCCTGTAATTTCAGCAAGGGAAGAGAGCGCCTGCAGGTGTCGAATTAATGCACCATGAAAGCAGAACTCTGCTGTGTTGCAATGGAGTTAAAATCAGGCTTCTCTGCTATTGCTGGCAGTATTCAGCTCCCAGTATATTTCTGACTTTGGATACATAGGCTACCCAGTAATTTTGTCACATCTTGAAAATAGAGCAGAGATAAAAATCCATTAGAGTCTTACAGCCATAAGTCATATTTACCATTTGCTAACAGGCTATTGTGTTGTGAGAGAAAACTGCTGCTCCAATCCCATCACAGAAAGTTTCTTTTGTCTCACTAAAACTTTCAGAAAGAAACTCAAAACTAAAAAAAGTCACTGATTTCTTAGGAAAAGAATATAGATTGTGATGTTAAACAGAAAAATACCCTCAGTAAAAGTCAAACTTTGGGAAAAATGTATTTTGAAAGAAAGGTGTTTTAATTATAAATTTTTGTTAATTTTAAATTCAGAGCTGAAACATTGTACCAAGTATTTTCACTGCCACTGCTCCCACTAAGTTTTGATGAG